AGTAGCTGGAACTACAGGCATGCACCACCACACCTGGCTAATTTTTGATTTATTGTAGAGATGTGGTCTCACTGTGGTACTCAGGCTGGTTTTGAACCTGTGGGCTCAAGCAGTCTTCTTGCCTCCACCTCCCAAAATACGGGGATTACAGGCATGAGCCACCATGCCTGGTCTGATTCTATTTTATTTTTAAATTACTTAAATCTTAGTGTTTCAGTGCATATTTCTGCTTTTCATTTCCATGTAGCTGTCTTCTTAGACATTTTTATTTTTTACTAAAATAGCTTTATGATGTTATTCTGAAAAAATACACACATGCAGTTTTTGATATTTAAGGCTGCTTTTCTAGAGATGGCACTTTTCTATATAGATTTTTGTCTTTGTTGATGTAATTCTTTTCTAAGAGATGCTTGGAAAATGACTGCTTTCTGTTCAGATTGTTCTGCATATATTTTCTCTGTGATTGGTAGTAATAAAAATACAACATAAGTATTTTGTTTACAAATGTAAATTTTTGACTTGGTGGATGAGCTGGTGTGTAATGCACCTGCTATTCTTCTTGGGAGTAGGTTCTGCTGAAGTGCAGGTTCTGCCTGCTGCTCTCAAGGCTGGCTTCTGCCACTCGGTCTGTCACACCCACACCTTCCCCTCTGAGGTCCCCAGCTAGACAGTTTTTAAGATCCCTTGTTTCAAGTGTAAGAATGTGTAGGATATACATGCTTTAAAATGCTAATGCTAGCCGGGCTTGGTGGCTCAGCCTGTAATCCTGCGCCTTTAGGAGACTGAGGTGAGTGGATTGTCTTAGCCCCGCAGGTTCGAGACCCGCCTGGGCAACTTGGCGAGACCTCATCTCTACAATAAATCAAAAATCAGCCAGGCTTGGTAGCACGCGCCTGTAGTTCCAGCTAATTGGAAGGCTGAGGCGGAAGGATCGCTGGAGCCTAGCAGGTCGATGCTGCGGTAGCCGGGAGCGGCCACTGCACTCCAGTCTGGGCGACAGAGTGAGACTCCAACTCAAAAAAAAAAAACAATGCTAATGCTACCCTTTTAAAAAATGTAACAGCAGAAAGCAAAGATAAAGATTTCATTCAAATAAGAAATCCCTTGACCACTCCTATTTTAAAAGTGAAGTTAGAATCAAGCTGCTAAGAATGATAGTCTGGCATTGGCCTGGCTACTGAGAGGGGCCAGCCTCCTCCCATGTGCACCTCCTCCCTTCAGCTACGGAGCAGCTGGAGTCAGTGCTGGTTCCCCTTGTGTGGTGTTCTTATCTGTGAATGCAACAGGAAAGTGGTGAATTATTTCATTACCTTGTACAGTTTTCAAATCCTGTGCTTCTGGTTGAGAAGAGGAATTTATTCTGGATAAACAAGTAAAGGAAAATTAGGTTGTGTTTTTGTGATTTGGATTTTTTCTGGGAGTTCTAGGATATATTTGAAAAGGAGACTAATTCCTAAATGAAACATTGACTGGTATCATACAGGAGGCTTAGGATCATAAATGGTGAAGCTTACTTTTTCAGGAATGTGTGACAACGCAGATACACATGTGTGTTGGTATTTGACAGTTAGAACCTATTTGTTACAGGCTAGGGCACGAGAGAGGATGTACACCTACTTCTAGCTTTATATGGGTGAGGGGATGTTTTGAAATGAAAAGTAGTTGGTGGATTTATCGACCTTTAGTGTTTCTTGCGTAGTAATTGTAACGGCAAAGATTTCTATCAGGAGAACAGCACCTGAATTAACCACAGATTGAATAGTTATTAACTAATTGTTTTGCCTCTTTAGAGAGATGCTTTTAATGACTGTAGAAAACCCAGTTAAGTTCATTATTACAAATTCATGTTTTAAGATTGTGACAGATGTCAGTGTTGGCAGATCAGGGAATGTGCAGTTTGGGTAATCTTAAATGTAAGTATGGAATGTGCTTATGTTTAACGACTAAATCTTTACTTGAAGTTCTTCAAAGTCAAAGCAGTCTCTTAGTAGCAATGCAGTTGATTTAACAGCATGGAGGAATAATTAAGTGAGAGTAAGGACAATATCTCCATGTTTGTTCTATCTTGCAATGAATTGATAGAATCAAATAGCTGCTTCTTTAGTCATTAATATGCTGAGTTTTCCTAGCTCCTCCTCAGGAGTTGGATTTTTCTTTTTCCTTCAAGATATACTACTTTTTTTTTTAAAAGCAGGATTTATTGAAAGGACAGAAAGGCTCCCGAGGGGATTGCCCAAGAGATACTACTTTTATGAAGCACATAAAATAACTATAGATCCTACCTGTTGCTAACTTTGGTGTAGCAAGAATCACATTGTAAAGGAATATCACAAAGTATCATTATCAGGTGGCTAATATTCATGTAGTAGTTTGGAGTACAGGTCCTGGTGCCAGGTGCTTTAAATATATCTTATTTAATCTTGGTTTGGTAACAGTGGGTGTAAGATACCCTTGGAACCCAAGATCCTTAGTTGTTGGTTTCTTGTTGGAAGACAAAATCGGAAAGGCAACCATTCATTATTTTATTGAAGTTTGCATGCTGTTAATGTACTGTTTGAAGATATTGGAAATGAAAAATGACAGTGATCTTTATTTTAACTTTTAAGCATAATTGAAATATGAAATATTGCTCTTTGTTTATGATGAATACTAAATTTAAGCCAAGTTATAAGGTATGCTGTTTGGAAATATGGAAGATACAAGAATGGAGCCAGATAACAAGTTTATGCTTGTATTTCCTACTGATGAAGACTGTCAGACGAATTATTTCCATGGGTAGGTGATGTCGCTCTGCATGTATGTCCACACTCAAACTGCTTGCATGACTGTCCATGTAGAAGTGGTACAATTTTGACTTGACTGTTGACCTGTTCCCTCAATTTGGGGATGGGGTGGGGAATGCGAGGGAGAGAGTCTCTGAATGGTATTGTCATATATATTTTAAAGGAAGTCACTACATAATTTATCGCAATCATCTAAAGAAAAAAAGGTCCTTAAAAAGCAGAACCTATGGTCAAATAGTCAATATTGTACTTGGCCCTCATATCTTATGCACCCAAGTATTGGACATCACACAGTATCTTGATTTTATAATAATCATTTTGAACTCTGACGAGAACACCATAGAAGGATGCAGCTTTCATTTCTTTTTTAGGAAAAAAAAATAACCCTCAAATATGAACCAGTTTTTAGCTATTTGAGCTAAAATTTATTACCAACTGATACCAAGACTACACTGTTGAATTTTTTGGTCGTTGATGAACTTGATTTACCCTTCAAGGGGAACTAACTGGAAATTGGTTTTAAGTAGTCAACTAAAACTGTCATGATCGTCAGAATTTCATATTATGACATGTGTGTTCTGTATACAGTGGCACCTAACCACTCATTTGCTTTTATGTTTAGTCATTTTTCATTTTTAAAATGTTGCTGCATAAACTGTGGTTTGGGAGTTTGGTTTTAAGGGATCAACACCCCAAGTGTGTTTGTTTAGTAAAAATCTACACAATGGATATTTATATTAAAACAGTAGTCTTTCATTGTGTATATTTTTATGATTCATTGGCGTATGTATTCCTTCATATTCAAGAGTTTCATAAAATAGGTGTGTTTAATATCTACTTGTTGGGTTATGTTTTAAAGCCTTTATGGAAATCTGTGGTTTGCTAGCACTTCATAAACAGCTGCTGGGCAAGGAGCAGCATTTCTTTTTTCTGCTTTATTTTAAAATGGGGGTAGTCAAGGAATTTCTTATTTGAATGAGATCTTTAATTTTGCTTTCTGCTGTTACATTTTTTGAAGGGTATCATTAGCATTTTTAAAGCATGTATCCTACAAGCATGAATATTCATGTTAGCATGAATGCTGCAGTGTAATGACTTTGGAACCCAACTGCCTTCAGCTAGTAAGGATAACTTGGAATGGAAGGGATCTCTTCCAGTAAGACCTTGAGTATCTTCCTGTAGCAGTCACCTGTAAGATTGCATATCATTCATTTGGAATGTGAGCTGGTTGTATTTCTTAGGGAAAAGAAATTCGACATACCCCTCATAAGACATCCAAAGCAAAATCCCGAAAATGGGTTTTGTGGGTATTGTCTTTTTGTAGAATGTTGTAAAGTATATCTAATATCCTTGTTATTTAAAAAGGGCTTTACTGGAAAGAGTTAAGTTAGTCACTAGAGCTCTAGTGTTCACCGTATTTCTTCATGAAGTAGGAAAATATATTTTATTTTCTGAATCTACCAGGGACTTTTAGTATTGCCTACAAGAGAAAGAACTAGATTCATTCTCTTAAAAACATAAATTGGGTTGGAATTGTTTTCACTATCAGTTTTTGTTTTGTTTTGTTTAACAAATCACTTTCCCTTTCTCTGGAGTCATCCCTTTTTACTTAATCTGTTGCTCTGTAGGAGTGTGACGGGAATCAGTATCACATTGTTCAGCTAGTCTTGTCTTCTGTCCTTCATGTAACACTCCTTTTCCTCCTTGCAAAATGTGTCCATCATCTTTGTGAGCGCGGGTTCTCTTCCGCGTCCACGTCATGTAACATGTGAAGTGAGCTTTCCCGTCAGCTAGAGGAAGGTGGAGGCAGCTGGCATTTAGAGGGCTCTGACTTGGTTTCAGAAGGGTTTTTCACCCATGAGTTAGATACCAGTATACATTTTCTTTCCTCCCTAGATGGACCTCCAGTTGTAGCTCATTATGATTTGTCTGACACCAGCTCTGACCCAGAAGTGGTAAATGTGGACAATTTATTGGCGGCTGCAGTAGTTCAAGAGCGCAGTCATTCTATAGGCGGCCAGGACCCAGGAGCTACCTGGAGGAGCAGCGGGCTTCTAGCGGAGCTGAAGTCAGAGGCAGGTTGGTCTCCCCCGACGGTGTATGTGCATGTGTCCTGGCAGCTGTTGTCCTTGTGGGCCCCGTGGAGGGCACAGGCCAGCCCTAGGGCATCTGGTGCAGAGCCACCGGACTGTCAGGCTGCTGGTTACTACTGAGCGGGCCGGGGTGGCTTGCCCTTTCTCTTTGCTAATCATAAGGAGGCCCAGATAAGAGGATGGAAGATGTTAATCTCAGGCATTGGTAGATTTTAGGAGGCCTGTTTCTCAGGTGCCCAGCACATGCAGAAATGGCCCAGGTACATCAGCATCTTGGCCAGTTCATTGCCTCTTTTACCCTGGAGCCCCCTTGCCAGCCCGGTGGGGAGCTAGCGATTCCTTTCCCATCGGACTGTATGTGGCAGGGCTGCCACTGTTCCTTGTGCTGCTTGCTGTGGCTTGTCCCTGTTAATCCTCTTTTGTAAGTTATCACGTGTGCTTTTCTAACCCTTTTCTTTCTATTTCTGCCTCTTTTAGCTCAGGAAGAAATCTTTCTCCCTATCCTGTGTTACTTACTTTAGTTCTGTGGTTTTTCTTAAGAGTGATATTTATTCACTCAAATATCTGCTGCTGTTACCTTTGAAAAACTTTTAGGGTGCCTCCAAGTTTCCTTTAATATTTTCTCAAAATATTGTCTTTCAACATTCTTGCAAAAAGGGTACATTTGTACTTAACATTTAAGAAAAGAGGAAGTGCCGGGCTCGGTGGCTAAGCCTGTAATCCTGCACTTTGGGAGGCTGAGGTGAGTGGATTGCCTGAGCCCACGGGTTCGAGACCCGCCTGGGCAACTTGGCAAGACTTCATCTCTACAATAAATCAAAAAAATTAGCAGGATGTGGTACTGCGTGCCTGTGGTTCCAGCTACTTGGAAGGCTGAGGTGGAAGGATCGCCAGAGTCCAGCAGGTCGTGACTGCAGTTGCCGGGAGCGTGCCACTGCACTCCGGTCTGGGCGACAGAGTGAGACTCCAACTCAAAAAAAAAAAGAAGAGAGGAAGAGATTGAAAGACAGACTGCTTAGAGTGTATCATTTTTCATGCTAGTGCTATTTAATTATACAAGCACTGGATTCTGAGCTAATCCAATAGCTTTATCACTACTTAAAATGTTATTTTTTAAAATGAATTTGTTTTTCAAACATTATAGTTTAGAACTTTATATGTAACTTCACTGATTCTTTCTTTTATTGTCTTTGTTTGGAACTAAAGATAAGTCACTTATTTGTTGACCTTCTGATGAATGTCTGGTGACTAATTTTGGAGCAGGATGTGGATTTAGTTTTGACTGTTAAATACCTCTTTGACCTCGGGCCAGTCATTTCTCCTCTGAACTTCAGTTTATATATATATATAAGGGTTTTGTATTATATTAGTGTGTATAAGTACTTTGAAAAATGGTTTTCTTTGTTTTTCATCCTTTGACAATTAAGTAATTCTTTCTGCTTCAGTTTTATTTCTCCATTTCCCATTTCCTTAGCCTTACCATTTGATATAGACTATAGTAAATTCGGGTGGGGGGTGATTTTTAGTGTTTTGCTCTTCATAAAAAGAATTCTTAATATTAGGTTGAACCAAATGGAATTGTTAATATTTGCCTGCAATTTTATGTGATACAGAATTTGCAATCTTAAAATACCATTCAAGTTACCAGTACTGGGGATAGCATTCACATTTTCCGATTCAAGTGATTGCTCGCTTGATTAGTTAAGATTAACACTCAGGACCTGCCACCATTCTTAAGAAATAAAACATGACAAAGCGTGTGAGGGGGGAAACACCTGCAGCCTCCACTCTGTTCCCTCCTACCTCAGAACTGTCCCGAGTTCAGTGTTGACTGTTTGGTATTCCTCTGTGTTGCTTTATATATTTTTACTGTACCTGTTATGTATCTGTAGATAAACATGTTTTAAAACGAATTGGTACCATGCTGAAGGTCATCATTTGCAATTTGCTGTTTTAGTTTGACATTTGCAAGCTTTGCTTGGCTACCTATGACTCTCGTTCATTCTCTTCCTACTGCAATTCAGTATTTCCCCATATGATGCTATCATAGTCACCAGCTTTCTTTTTGCTGGACCTGTAGGGTGTTGCTTTAAATGATGCTGCATTAACATTTCTCATACTTGTCTCTTGATATATATACGTAGGTGATCATTTCTCTAGGATATAATTAATGTGCAGAGAGAGCACATGTGTGTATTGGGCTGTCAATTATGTGTAGGTTTTTGTATACTGTAGGATGTAGTCACCATTGTTTAGCAGATCTCCATGACATGTTCCTGTGAAGCCATTTATTGACTCTTTCAAAGTCATTTCCCCCCTAAATCTGACAATACAGTTATGTGAATAGATAAAACCTAAACACTATAATCTTGATACAGTTGTCATAGTGGGACCCCTTGTGAATTTCATTGTGCTTACAGTGTCACCATGAAATATTAATAGAACTGAAGCTTGATCGCCAACCTAGATTTTGAGGTTAGTATCAGTCAGATAGTCGTTTTTGTAGTTTGAGTCCAGGTTAAATGTTTTCGCGGTTCATGTGGCCTCCCTTTCCCCTCCAACAGTGAAGGCCTGGCTGCTGAGCAGACTGTTCAGAGCTTCACTTTCATCAACAGCAGCATCTCAGCACAAGTCTACAGCTCCACCCCATTTAGGGTATTACCTGTAAGTGATAACTGGAGATAGTCACTTGCCTTTTTCCAAGCAATTAGATAATGATCTTATATCCAAAGTATTTGTTATATTTAGTTTTAGTTTTAAGCTAGACATGAGTCACACACAGATTTTTTTTTTTTTTGGGTTGGAGTCTCACTCTGTCACCCAGACTGGAGTGCAGTGGCCGCTCCCAGCCATCGCAGCCTCGACCTGCTGGGCTCTGGCGATCCTTCCGCCTCAGCCTTCCAAGTAGCCGGAATTACAGGCGCGTGCTACCACGCCCAGCTGATTTTTTGATTTATTGTAGAGATGAGGTCTCGCTGGCCAGGCGGATCTCGAACCCGTGGGCTCAGGCAATCCACTCACCTCAGCCTCCCAAAGGCGCAGGATTACAGGCTGAGCCACCGAGCCCGGCTTCACACACAGATTTAAACACTAAGTTGAAATCAGGGAAGCCACTGGTAACAGAGATCTAAAGCTTCCATTTAACTCTTACCATGTGTTCACTTTTTCTTATTTGGTGCTTGGAATTGAACAGTGTAGTGGGTGATTTTGAACCAGCAGCCATTTACAAACTGTGTGACCTCGAGTAGACTATGTAAAACCTCCATTCCCTTATGTACAAGTTGGGGCTAGGACTAGTGTGGACTCCAAAAGGTAGTGGTTCCCACTGAGTGAAGTAACACATGTGTGACTGTGGTGCAGGGCACAGCACACAGTAGGCCCTCAGGAGTGCCAGCGAGCAACATGTTAGTAGCAGTATACTGAGGCCGATGGAATGAATGAGGAGGTGATGAGTGAATCAGACAGTGGATTTCTCGTTTACTGTCTTGTTAGGGCGTTGCCCTTGCCACAGTTATTTCTTAAACCTTAACCTTAGCGTAGAAGTCTCCCAAGGTATGTCTAAACATTGAAACTTCCAGATTTCTCTCTGAAGACTGTCAATAGATAGGAAATGAGGTTTGGAATCTCCTTGTAATAATAACGCCCAGGTAACTTGTGTGTCCAACATGTTTAGGAAGCTGTGTCAGTATATCTGAAAATGACTTCATTCTTGTTACTTGCTAGTAAGAAATAGAAATGTAGTTGGAGAAAAAGCAGAAGTCCCAGGTACTCTTAGTGAGGAAGGCTTATAAGTGAGGTCAGCTGAATTTGTTGTGAGTTTTTCCCCTGGTAAGTTAAAAATTTTAAGTTTGTCTTTTCGTTAGCCTTCTTGTCAGGAAGGTAGGCTCTGAGCATTTACTCCCTGTAAAATATGAATGATGATCTTGGTTTGTCCCTAACACAAACATGGTAGCAGACAGAGAGGCAGGTGGTGGGTTTCCTCTTTTTTGGCTAGGCTTTTTACACTCAGCCAGTATGGCCACATTTCTATTATTAGAGCTTTAAAGATGCAGTTCAGGCTTGTGAGATGACGGCTGTCACGTTCCCCATGTTTACCTGCCCCCTGTTGATTATACGACTTCAGATTTCTGACCTCTTCTTGCACTTTTTAAGGTTGCCTTTAATATTCTTGGTGAAAGAACTAAACACAGCAATAACTTGCTTGTTTCAAGCTAAATGAGTTGTGACTTAGGTGAATCTTCAGTAGGCTCAGGCCCCTTCTTCCCTGGATTTACAATTAAAAATTGGCTACATTGTTTCCTTTGGAGACAAAAAAGAAACTGCTTGCCTGGATAGTTTACTTACTACTTTTTCTGTGTTGGTTTTTCTTACTCTCTTGGTGACCCTTGCTGATTTGTGTGTTGAAAAGGTTCGTAGTGGGAGGACAAAAATGTGGAATTTTCTCATCCAGTGAAAGAAGTTATCTTTCCAAAGATCTGAAAGGCAGAGACCCATACAGAGCCAGCCAGGGACTACAGGAGCTAAACAGAAGTGCCCTGCCTGGATTGCCAGCTCAGTGTTGGGTAGCCGTGATAGGTACATTTCTATCTGTCCTAGAGCTGGGGAAGATGATTCCCACTGATGGGACTGGGAGAGCCTCATGGCACCCTTGGCTCACTGCTGAGCTATCACGATGGGGTAGGAGGGCAGTGGTGGCAGCCTGAAGGCCAGAGAAACAGGAGCAGGACTGTGTGACATGCTGAAGGGGGCATATCCACAGAGAAGGATGAGTCCTGACTCAGGTGGGAGAGGGGAAGCATCCCAGGATACCTCAGGTGTCTCCTAGAGCCTGGTGTCCCAGAACTCTGGTGGGAGTCCTTGCTGACCTATCTGCATGGCACATTTTATCTACTGGCTCTGACAGTGAATGTGACAAAAGTCTCCCTCCATTAGTCCAGGAGTTCCTAACGTGCACCAGGAAGTATGCGCTGGGTGTCCCCTGTGCAC